GTCCTGTTTCTATTAAGGTTCGCCATTTTATGGTTCAAACAAGTTTATGTCAATATCATATTTTGAGAATGAAATTATTAAAAATAACAAGAATTCTGCATTCTCTAGTCTCTGCCCCATCCCAGTTTACAATGAGAAATTTATATATATATATATATATATTGAGAGAGAGAGAGAGAGCAATATTGTTGGTATTAAATACAATTTTTATACATTACTGTTGTTATGTATAAGGTGGAGCATATTTATAAATTTAAAAATAATAGAAAAAAATTGCAAGGTGTGTCTTACATTTGGCAGACATTTTTATGGTTTAAAACTTAAGTTAATTTGGAGAATTTTAAAATTTACTACATTGTATTTATTATTAGTAGTAGTGGTAATAAACCTATACTTTTCCTGCATTGATTTGCTTTTTAAAACAACCCATCGTGACAGCTACATTTAGCTATATAAAGAACCACGACTGGAATATGTTCTTGTGCAGTAACTTATAATGTTGAAAGGAGTCGATGGAACGTCAAGGACTTTATGAAGTGGGCGTGCAGATGTGCATGTTTGTTGTCACAAAGGGTGAAATTTAAAACCGCCTTTTAAACCTCAACCAGTTTATTATGGTCCTCAGTATATCTCCATCCAGATTGGATATTTATTTACCTGTAGCAATGAAAGAGGTTATGGTAATAACTTGGATAGTTTCAATGGGAGAAAAATTATCAATCTTTCACATTCAATATTTCGGTGTCATTAATTTATATTACTTATATTCTGTATGGGATTTTTGGTACTTTTACTGTATATTATAGGACTAAAGAGTAGACTGCTTTTTACTTTTGTTGTTACCACTAAGCAATACAAATGGTATTAAACATAATGTCTTATCTTATAATATTAAATTTTATTTACTCTAATGCATAATACAAAAAGTGTTGAGATATATTTTTATTTCAAACTTCACTTCAAATATATTTATTTTTATTCAGGTGGGGCTTTAAACCACCTGTTCTTTTCCACCTTAATATTTGTATCAGATAATGATATATAGACATTTATATACAAACCACACCATATAACCCTATCCCATTGTTACCCCGTGCCTCACCTATTGTTTTCCATTTATATCACAATGCTATCTCATCGGAATTGCCCAGTGTTGTAAAAATGGCGGTAATACACATATTCCGTGGTTTACGAGGACCAAGAGGCTTCTTGATAATGTTATTAGCGAGAAGATGACTGATCTTGCTGTAACATCCCGCATGTGGTGTCGCTGAAAGTGAGCGGCATTGTGATGCGGCATGTTAATGTAGATTTACAGGTATTTTGGGGGCGGAAGAGGTCGCGTGGTGACTAGTGAAGCTTACTCGTACAGAGATATAGTTTTACAAGCACGAGGGGGAGGCTTTTGATAGCATGTGAACTTTTTACACTGTATAGGTAAAGTTATTTATTTTTACTGAAGGGAACAAAAAATATATGGTTGTATTTGAGTAAGTTTGTCATTGATTTTGATCAAAACGATAGATTTTGCTGACATTTCTTGCTTCTGAAGGAATTGGGTTACAGTAAGTGAATCCAACGAGAAATTAGAGGTGAAGTAGGTCAAGCATAGACAGAGAGACAAAAATGATGATAGTTTTTATCTCTTTTGAGAGAATTATAGGCACAACATGGAAGGAATTTGAACTTGTGTACCCGTGAAGCTCAGGACAAGTGGTATTCGGGCAAAGTTTTGTGGTTGATTCTTTACACACAATTTATTCCACGCTAAAATTCACGTTATGTTATGATATATGTATAGAGGTCAGGGTCGTATTCTTCTGCAGGATATGGCAAACAAGGGAAGAATTTGCACTTCTGCACTTGGCGATCTCGTCACAAAGACCACGCAGGCAAAGTTTGTGGTAACTTTTACGCACCATTTATTTAGCTATAGCATTAGTGTTATTCTAACAGATGAAAACAGGTAAACAATAGACCCTGAAAGGGTTACAAGGCTTATTGATCTAGAAGGCAAATAGGCTTCGATTGCATGTGAAATCCAATCACAGAGATCAGGTTGAACCTAGTGAATAACTTTGTAGAAGTAGTTTGGCGAGGTAAGATTACACGTGTATACCTCAGCAACATTCTTGTAGCTCTCTCAGTCACGCAACAACAATCGGCAAAATCAGGTTGGAGTCGAACACTTGTCGTTGGTAGAATGGTTGAATGCATTATTGGAGGAACTTATGTGCGGATGGAGGGAGAAACAAGAACAGGTATGAAGTTGTCAGTACTCGGCAAGGTATGACAATTTTTATAAGTCCTTTGACAGCATTATTTTTCGATTTCTCTATTGTGTAGTAACATATATCATGTGAAATTTAAAGGACATGCAGTTTATCATCAAAACTAAACCAATGTATTATTGGAGATTAGCCACACTTGTTGCGAAGGACTGAAAATCAAATCTAACTTTTGATAAAGATCTGGAGAAAAGTCACTGAAGTTTGAACTAGCAGATCGTGAGTGGATTACTGGAATTTTCATGGAGAGAGAGAGATAGTGTGAAGCGGAACAGCAGCACTGTTTTGGAGATCAAGAAATCTGAATCTGAATCCCAACCAGGTTGGCCTAACTTGAGGTGTTTATTTAAAGGGGACATTTAATCTGATGCACTGGTGCCAGAATAAGTCCCAATCCTCTATATAGCTGATTAACTTAATAGAATAAGGAGTCTGGTTCCTTTGCTTTGGAGATAGCTACATTTTGTCCACCAGGTTAGATAATTCACTGAAACCTGACCAGTATAGAGACAGTGGACACAGCGGAAGAAGTGAATGTAGAGTGGACATAGTGCAGTAAATCTAGTGGACACTGGACACGTGTACTGGTAGTGGACAGTGATATGTAGTGAATGCAGGAAGACAGAGAGCTTGGACACATGTAGTGGACACAGGGCAATAAACAGTGAATATACTGGACACAGTGTCCGTATGTAGTGGACAGTGAATGCAGTGAAGACAGGCAGACACACAGCACACAGTGGACATACATAGTGAACACAGCAATAAACAAAGTGGACACTGGATACAATAAGCAGCGAACATACTGAACACAGTGGATATAGTGGACACAGTGGATATAGTGGACACAGTTAATGTAGTGGACACAAGCTGGACACAGGTAATACACCCTGGTAGCAGTCCTAAGGATCTACCTTTAACATGATTAACTCCTCCATTGAAACTGGACACCTTGTTATATAATCCTTTAGCCAACAAGATGATCTGCTGTTAATGTACCTCAGTTACTTCCGTGTCTTAGGCAGACCTGGTGTTTATGGTCTGGTGTGTTTTATATGATCATTTCTGTCACTAGTAAATTGCCAATACCATATGCCATGGATTATCACCTATTATTGGATGTCTTTTATTACCTAATCTCTTACTATGGCATTCTGTGGAAAACCACTCATTGTCTAGGCAGATGTCATTATTTGTGCATCGTAATATTTATGATATGTGGGACCAAGAATATGTGAACAATTTTACGTAAATAATCATTTACAAGTAAGGAGAACTGAACTTATAGTCTGCTTGCGATGTGAGTTTATTTATTTATTTATTTATTTATTTATTTATCTACCCATGAATACTGTTAACAAAAAGTGTTAAATAATGGCATTGATGAAGAAGTTTGATACCACTCTGTGCACATGTTACTGACCAAACAAACCATATTTATCTTCAAGTGTGGACCACATGGACAATGCAGTGGGAGGAAGCGAATGCCGCGCTTTAGGATACAAAGTGATTTATCAAATATGTAAATAAGACAACTGAGGGAGTACTTACTGTGGAAATAAGTGGAAGGTAGATATATACTGTAAGCCAGTCACTGTTCAAGTTTAGTCAGAGGAAGAATGGATACAACCAACTGACAGGGCAAGGTACCATGAATGGGATGAAGTCAGGATTGGGTTCTAGTGAGTTATCTAGAGAATTCAAGAGTTGAGGTAGCCTTGAATTAGTTTTACAAGATTTCTCAAAGTTTAACTGAATAATAAGTCAGGACGCTAAGGCCAATAATTAGGTTGTGTCTCAGCATTCCCTGTGGCTACTATCTCTAAAGTACTTAAAAAAGAAATTTAAGTTTAAACTTGAAGACTAAAATTTTACCCTTATCTTTTGACTAAGATGGACCAGTAGTAGAATCTTTTACTGGAATATGTCCCTTTTTTGGCTAGAAAGAAATAGCTTCTGTTTAAACCAATACTAGTAATAGCTTCACTATCTTAAAACAATCCTGAACTGAGGTAGTAAAAAATTTTCGTTTTAAAATTCGTTAAGAATTTTCTATGTGAATAACAGCCACAGAAACCATGCTGTTGTCATTTAAACAACGGGGGCAGTTAAGACCATACAAAGTCAACTACAGATCCTTCCAATACAGAAATTGCCATTTTCAAAACAGAAATCATAACCTATGTGTTGAATTTATGAAATCTCCATACGACTGAAACATTAGGAACATGGTGCACAGAGTTAAATTGCTGTCCAGACTGAAGTTAGGACAGTCTCTGCACTACGGGTTAGGATAAAACCCCACCAGAATACTGCAGGAAGAAACCCAATATGAAATTCAGAGGAACATATTGCCAGAGAGCCAGAATAGATTCCCCCAGACCATGGATTAGCTGGTTGAATCTTGGAGGGATATTTCTGCTTTCTATGCAGAGAAATGGATAATGCAGAGGCCCACTTACACTCCAAACAGTCAAAATGGTAATTTCTGAAAATCTGAGGGAGGAATAGAAGCCGAAAGGGCTGCAGTGAGCTCAAAAACAGACATTTAGATGCTATGTGTTTTTCTTCAGTCTTTTTGATAAAAGGAAAGGTACTGGAATTTTCTCCATTAATTTATTTAATTTAAATTAATTATTTTCTTCATCATTTATTTACATTTAAATTTATTTATTTTATTAATTTATGCTATAAAGGGTGCATGTGCATTGTTTGCCTATAAGTTGTATATAGCACATCATTTGGAGAATTATATCTGTATTCAGCTAAGGTAGAGCACCAACCATGACTGCTGTATGGATATACTGATATTGGTTATGTCAACAAATATTATCTCTCCACAGCTGTAGATAGATATATCAGTATAAGAGAGAGAGCTGATTGTACTCTATCTCACTAATACACAGATAAGTTACCCAGGAAACATGGTGAGTTTCACGCACAATTGATTTATGCCAGGGTAAAGTTATAAAGTTAATAGCTCATGGCCGTAATGCCTTCATAATTTGCCAAAAAATGATTATTCATACATTTATGGAGTTAATTTTGATCAGCATGGTTAGTAGTAAACATAATTTGCTGAAGGGACATACTGGGGTGATTATTCATCTATTTATAGAATTTGATGGAGGTGGTGAAAAGATTGCATAGAGGAGAGAGATTTTATGGAGGGGAAAATTAGTGGAATTTAACCAGACCGTGACAAAGAGATAATTATGAAATAAACTGGCAGGGAGAGTGCTTTAAGTACCACTGAAGGAAAGTTGGGATTTCCTGGATGTTTACAGTTAGTGCGTACCTGGAGGAACTATTCACCTGGCGTCAACACCTGATAGCCTCGGCAATTTCAAAGGTATTTATGACCGCTGATGTTGATACCAGTCTCCTACTGACCACTGGTCAGTTAATCCCCCCTCTTGACCTGGTGTCATTAAGTCAATACACCCTATTGGTGCTGCACCTTGGTACCAGGTGATCTCCTTATGAATTTTTCCACAGAGAAGTGGAGTGAAGACATTTATACAGGAACTAGTATTATGCATACAGTGAAGAAGATGACTGGATTTTACTGAAGAAGATTCTGGTTTGTGTTCACAAATTATTAGTTTATTATCTCAAGCAACGGATGTGTCATCTTCCTAGAAAGGACATGAGTAACGAGTCCAGTGTACTTACGCTAATAGCAGAGGAGGTAAATGTCCGTTGAAAGTGAGAAGATTCATAACAGGATATTCCCCCAGATTTGTGGACTTTGAGGATATTTGTAAGCGAAACAGCAATTTAGGAGTTTTTTCCCCCAAGGAATAGAGAGGGCTGAACACCTGAGCCTGTCTAGAAATACACAGTTTCAGGAAATACACAGTTTTATATATACCCTAGTCAACAAAGGAGATTACGTTTTTATCAGCCTTGGTTTGTTAGTAGATAATATTTCCCATAAAGTTCTTCACAAATTTTGACGAAATCTTCAGGGTAGGAAATTACTAGTTTTCAGGTAAGGAAAAATTACTGCAACTTATCTATTATTGAATCAGTGTCTCCTAAGATTTAAAAAAATATTTTTGTTTTCCTTGGTGAAATTCTGCTTTCTTGTTGCGGATTCCCCAAACCTTGGATTATTGAGGAGGAGCACGGCCATATGGTTTGAAAAATATATACTCCCCCAAGGAGAATTCGGAGGCAGTGGACCATGGTAAATTAACTGGGTAGACCTGATAACAACTATTTGCCTAGCTGTAAATGTGGAACTTGGAAGATCTATAACAAAGGCAGTTATCCCCTTCAAAGCCAGCCATACTTACTGTCTATGGTGGAGAGAGAATTCGATGCAAGAGTCTATGGAGAAAGTTGTTGAAGAGCAAGTAGCCAAGGCTGTGATAACAGTGGTCTGCAAAGCAGCTAATGTTACCCGAGATTTGAGTTCATTATTTCTGTATTTTTCATGACAGATTTTTATTTTTTTTATGACAGATTTTATCTGGTACAGAAATAGCATTTCTGACCAGCAGAGGGTATAGTTTATTAGAATAGAAACAAAAATGTTTAATCTGGCTCAGCGAAGTCAGTAGTCTTTGTCATTTTCAGCGTGTTTTATATTTTATGAGCAAATGTGGGTTAGGCAGTATTCTTATAATTATTTTCAGCTGAATCCTAATTAAAAATCTGATCTGTAAAATTTGTTCGGGATATTTGTAAATGATGATTTGAGTTAAAAGGTGACAATTTATTCGAGGTCCACTCTACATCTGAAAAAAATACAGTAAACATAAACATGACATTCTGTAGTGTGTTAAACAGCAGAGCATTAATAAATTTTAAATGAGAAATACCATACCATAGTATAAAATGATGATTCATTTACCTGAGAGCACATTAAAGGTAGCAGTTTCCATACAGGTGTATGTGGATATATAATTATAAGCCATTGTGTCTGATATTAAATACCAGCAGATATATTCTAGTATAGAGGTTATGTAAACCTTGGCTGATGTATTTATTATATATGTTTGTTTATTTCACCTGTAAAGTCAGGACACATATTTCAGAGTTGTTTGTGATTTTCTGAAAGGAAGAGTTTGAAATTTGGTATCAAAAACAATTGGTTTGTTGGTTTCAGAGAAGGGCAAGAGAGACTGTGTTGGTGTTCCGTGAAGAATAGAGTGAGCTTTTTGTTGAGGAGGACTGTTAAATGTCATAGTACTGACAGAGGAGAATCCGGTATTGTTTTCAGAAGAGAAGGTTTCAGTTTACTTAAGACAGACACTGGAATTTCATAACATTTCTTCTCTAGAGTCATATGTCGCACTGCAATGCATACTTCACTTATTTGAAAAAAATATATATTGGGAGCAGTTGTACAAGTCTTGCTGCATGCTGAATTACTACTATCAGACAGTTAAATCCACTTGCAGTGACTGTGCTCTGAAAAACCTGCATTTGATTAAGTTTAATTTTCAAGCCCAGCCGGAATCAATTTAAAGAACTAGTAGCTTTCTAGACTTAGCAATCACTCAACAGGGAAAGGAAGGATTGTGGTCTTGCCATAACACTGAAGAGAAATATTTCACCACTCAGGGGTTTGATCTAGCAGTACTTTGAACACTGAGGATTGAACAGTTTAAAATCATTGTTTGAACAAACAAAAAACCATGGCAGCTTTAGCAGCAGGGTTCCAGCTTCAGGCGTTAAACCCTCGCGAGAACCCGAGCCCGTTATTGCGACGGCGCATGCAGCCTAGGGATCCTGGTGTCCCGATCGATCATGTCCCTGACCCCACGTACGACGAGATACCAGAATTCAGGTAATGATGATCACAGTACAATGAATATAATTTTAATAATTAAAACATTTTGAGGAATTGGGGACATGTAATGATATCTTTTATAATTATGTAATGAAAGCTACTTGGGAAGCAGGCAGTGCACTAGTATGCTGGCAAGATGTCATCAACTTTTAGTTAAAAAATTTTTTTGAAGGGAGGTAGTAAGTTCATGGCAGCATGATGTTATGTATGGTGTCGTATCAGGTGATGATGTTGTATGTGACACAGTTATGTACATGATGGTGAATCTATTACTGCTAATCATGTGGAATGGATGGGAGAGTCAGTATATTTGGTAGAAACAATTACTTTTCACATAATTCTCACATTCGTAATGTCTACATATAGATAACTTTGATGGTGTTGATGATGATAATTATAATAATACATATTTTAAAAAGCCATGCTTCACAAGTCTCTGGGCACAGTGTACTGTGGTATTCAACAGGTGTGCTGACAAGTTTAAGGTTCTGTCAATTACTATATTTATTTATATTTAATTGATTAATTTATTTACTTGATTCCATGTTTATGGAATCATTAAAATGTGTTAGATGTGACCGAAAATATGTGGTTGATATTGTGTTAGAGGTGATAATATGGATTATAAGGACAGGAGCATTGATTAATTAATTGATTGATTGATTTTTGAGAAAAGGAGAGGGGGGGTTAAAGAACCCAAGATATGATTAGTTAATGTGTGAAATGACTCAGGCACTGAAAAAACACATTGATTGTACTGTAGAGATTCAGAGCTTCATTAGGACACTTAAATATGACTCAAGAGGTTTGGAGTTGAGTGAGCAACAAATCATCTTAATGACCTCAGGGGGACAACCTGTCTGCAGGAATCTCTCTCTCTCTCTCTGTCTCTCTCTCTCTCTCTCTCTCTCTCTGTGTGCGTGTAAAAGGCTGTGTGTGACTTTATTTATGTTGCACAGTAAATGATAAAAACTAAATGTTCATCAGCAACATTAACATTTTTGATAAAAGCAAAAAAGAAAAAAAAAATCAAATAGATGTTTTCAGCGAAATCTCCAAAAAAATTACACAAATAAACAGTGCAGACCAGTATACATGCTGATCCTTAATTCTCTTGATGGTAAAAGCTGGCAGTCCCATATCTTCTGCCCTTTTTCATTGTGTAATATAAAAACAGTGAGTGTGATTACAACGTCCTATGTGGTCTGTTTTTTTGTAGTGGCTTTTGCTCTACCCTGAATATTGAGAATGCTTCAAAAAGTTTTATCACGTTTTTGGAGAAACCCAAAGAAATGCGAGAGCTCATATCAAGGGTGATTCTAAAACTGAAGGAAATTTATTTTCATAAGCCTCATAATCATATGACATCCAGCTTCCTTAGCTGCCCGTATGCTCTGCTTGTGTGCTCCTTACTTGTTCTGAAGGCAAGGAATAAATATATCTTACTTTCAGCACTGGAGGCAAATTGGAGTGAAGGCAAAACTGTGAGTGTATGAATTAGGCTGTAGTTGCATCATTATACTACTACTGTACATATTTAGACATGTATAATCATGTTTATTTGTTTTTGTTTTATTCATTTGAACTGGTAATGGACCTGTGAAAGAAGTAAGATGTTGAGAAAGATCCAGTTGGAAGGAAAAGATTAACAGTGAAGTTTACTTTTTATCTCCCTTAATGAAGAAGGCTGGTTTTCATTAGTGCTGTTTTGTCTGTTTGTTAGTAGACAAGGTAATATCTCAAAAAAGTATGCATTAATTACTATATGAAATTTTCTGGAAAGAACAGTTACTAATAGTTATTAAGCAGGAAGGAAGTGGTTATAATTTCAAGATAATTAGGATCTCCTTATACCTTTTTCAATTACAAATTACTCACAATCATCAAATGAAGCAAAATGGTGTTTTTGGAATAATTATCAATATTGACTATGAATTATGTATTTAAATGTTATGTTTAAAACTGAACATCCAGTCCAGTAAGTTTCAGGATGTGCAGAAGTCATTTCACCTGTAGTGTACAAAGTGGAACATGTACCACAGAGCATTTAAGGTATACTTTACACCAGGTACAGTGCATTCTGGTGAAGTCTTGCCGTTCTGTGAATAATGCCCAAATCACCCTGGTATGAACTGATAATTTATTTCTATTACTATTGTCATGCTAGTAGTAATACAGTGAACCAATTCACATGGGCTCAGTTCTGGACTGGTTTCTTGGTATCTTGAACCGGTTCGTATTTTGGGAAAATGTCCCAGTCCTGTTTGGTACCTACTTAAGTGTAAAACTTCTGACCTTCCATACCAAAAAGTTGGTTACACTAAGTTCAAGTAAAATTCACAGTAGTCCACTGAAGTACCGACTGTATTAGTAAGTGCTGTCAGTCTGAAACACAAACTGTGTCTTACTTGTTATAAGAAGATATTGCATGTCATTGGACTCTCTCTCTCTCTCTCTCTCTCTCTCTCTCTTGATTGAAATCCGTTTACTGGAAATTGACTGATTGCAGAATCTCAATCCAACGATTTGCTCTAATTCTCTCAACCGACAAAACCACAGTTTGATTAAAACAAAATTACGCTGGATTAAAAGAACCGAGCAGATAACATTCCTATTCCCATTAATCTAACACATGTTCACCTACTGACAACCAAATCGAGTCCTGGCTATCTCTCTGCTCCCATAAAAGTTGATTTATAGAAGATATTTCCCATTATGTTTAGCATTTATTGCTGAAGTCCCTCCATCATTGGCTGGTGTGTCCTCCAGTAACCCACATTAGATAAAGTTGGTATTGGAAGATTGTGGAAAACTAGTACTGGGGATATGATCCTTTCTTGTGGATTGGTTTTTGTAGAGGAGCGTTATGGATATTGATGCAATACAGGCTGAATTGAGGTATGATAGAAAACTGGTAATTCATGAATGTTAATACTGTTAATGTTTGTGTGTGTGTGTGTGTTTGTTGTATGTGTGTTTGATTGTGTGTCTAATTGGTTTAAGTCATGTAGTATTTGAGTGTGTAAATGTTTGGAATTTTCTTTTATTTTGGATGTTTAATTGTTTGCATGCATGATTGTGAGTTGAGGGGTATGTGTGGATTTTGTTTTTATTTTTTATTTTTTTCAAATGTTTGTGTGCATGTGTGTGTTTCTGAGTGTAGCTATGAGAATGTTTGTGTATGTGTGTGTGTTTGAGTGTCCATGAACAACTTGGTGTGCCTGGGCATGCATGTGAGTACATTTGTACATGTGGGCACACACTTGTGTCTGTCTAAGGGTTGCATGAGGTAGAGAGCCGAGATGGAAATCCATTTCCAAAAGATCATGATAAACTTGGAACTGGGGAAAATATTTCTGCCAAAGTCAGTTTGCATAGATCTGTCTTACTGATATTGATTGTGTATAGTGTGAGCTGAGGTTGGGTAGACCACCATGTAACTGAAACTTGATAATCAGTTGTTTGTTTTTTGGTAAGAGAGTAAGAGAGGAGGAATTGGGAGGGAGTTTGGAGTTGGAGATCCAGTGTATGTAAATTTATGTAATGTTATGATACTTTGGGATGGAGTAAATGGCTGATGTATGTTTTGCAGATGGTAAGAGAAAGACACAGCTGTATGTGTGAAATATTACAACTTTTGTCATACTGTATTGTAACATTGTAACTTTTCAATAATATCCATTGATTTTGAAAGATTTTATCTTGATGTAATTGTTATACTGTAACTTATTGCTAATTTGTATCATTTCAGTAATATGTCCATGGATAGGGCTGTGTGTTATATTGTTACATTGTATCACTTCAGTAATATGTCCATGGATGGGGCTGTGTGTTATATTGTTACATTGTATCATTTCAGTAATATGTCCATGGGTGGGGCTGTGTGTGTTATATTGTTACATTGTATCATTTTAGTAATATGTCCATGGATGGGGCTGTGTGTAAGAGGTGTGCAGAAGGTTTTGGCCCAGAAGAGAAGATTGTCAACTCCAATGGAGAGATTTGGCACACACAGTGCTTTGTGTAAGTTTGGTTTGCTTTATGCACGTTTGCGTACACACATGTCCAACCATGTGCACACATGCACCTGTACATATAGTAATACAGAGGGTTGTGGGGCTAGCTATGCACAGATATATCCCTTTCTTGAAATATTTTTATTTGATATATTTTGCTACATTTATTAATACATTGGATTATTTCCTTTTTTTTTGTTTATTAAATGGCTTAATTATTTTAGCTATATTCATTTTAATTGATCTCAGTTAAAAAAACTCAGTCATTATCTTTAATCATTTTTACAGCAGATTTATTTCAATGGAATTGATTTTTCATTATGAAGCTTTGTTACAAAGCATGAGTTGCATGTTATATCTGTTTCATATGGACTGGTAATTAACTAATGGTGCATGTTTTTTTGTTCCAATTGTTCATAACATGATGCGACGGCCTTGACTTATGTGGAAAAATTCAACATTCCATTAACTTACTTGCTGGCACATTTAGGTGGAAAGGGGTAGAATAATATGAAACACCAAAGGAAAAAAATTACATGGGAAGAGAAAAAAGTAAAAAATGGACAAGACAATAAAAAATCTGAATTCACATAATTTGTGAATCATTAAGCTTTGTTCGTGCAACTATTAGTACTTATGTTTCACATGGTCGAGAATGCAAAGCATGTTTCACGTAACATGTTTCACATGTTTGGTAGTATTTCACATTGCATGGCAGGATTCACATAGCAGTGTGATTCAATTCACATAGGAGGAGACAGGAATGGTAGTTGTTGTGATGATATGGGCATGTTCACTCCAGGCCTAACTTTGACCAGGAATTAACCATTTGACAAAAGCATGAACCATGTTATGTATATAAATAATGGCCTGATTTTGAATCTCTGTCCAGATTGGTCTCATTAACCCCAAAGACCCAACAGAACAAACTTGGGTCTGTCAGCTTTGGAAAGTGGATTCTTTCACTTTCATGGAAGATATGAGATGGCAGAATTGCTAATTGATTTGAAAAAGAAAGAGGGTGACCATGAAACCACATATGAATATGTTGACCACCCGCATTGTGGCGCCATCTTTTGAGACTCATACTTGACCACTGGCACCATCTTTTGAGTGGCTTGGATGTGAATGTATGCATGAAGGTAGGGTAGAACACGCATTGCACAGAGCTTGCACAGATGGAGGCACTTCAAGTGACCTGTGTTGGTATTCTGTAGTTCTAAGTGTGATTGGAGTATATGGTAGAGATAGCCAGGTAGACAACAAGATCTTCTGTGGTAGTTGGTTCGTTGGAAAGGTACCTGTCTTAACTTTCAACTCCTTTATGGCACAAAGTTTTTTCTGTTTTTGAAACTCAGGAGTCATCAGCTGATCTGCAACATTTTGATTTCCATACTAAAAACAAGCTATTTTTTTCAAGTTGAACTTTTTCCATGCAATATTTTATTGCTAGACTCTTTTGAAAAAAAAAATTGACGAACAGATGAATAATCTTTGTCCATAAAGGAGCGTATGGCTTGTAGTTTAGTTCCTTATGTGGCTTCAGTTTCTTTATTTTTCACACATATATCACTTATTATTTATTATAATTATTATTTCCTGGCTGTTCTTTCTACCTCCCTCTGCGCTGTTTACAGTCTAGCTGGCAATATGCCAATACAAAACACTGCAGTTTGCCAGAAATGTAGAGAAGGCATAGATACAAGTGAGTCCATGGTCAACTACAATGGCCAAGTGTGGCACCCTCACTGTTTCTCGTAAGTATAGTCATAGCTCACACACTGTCACACTTAACACACTGTCACAACTTGTCTGTCATAGCTAACACACTGTCACAACTTGCCTGTCACACCCAACACTGTCACAACTTGCCTGTCACACCCAACACTGTCACAACTTGCCTGTCACACCTAACGCACTGTCACAACTTGCCTGTCACACCCAACACTGTCACAATTTGCCTGTCACACCTAACACACTGTCACAACTTGCCTGTCACACCTAACACACTGTCACAATTTGCCTGTCACACCCAACACACTGTCAAAACCGAAAATGCTACACCTACCAAATTGTCACAGTTATATGTCACACCTAACACATTGGCAATCACAGATTACACTTCACTCCATCTTATCCATTACAACTAACATTTAATCTTGGAAATATTTCTTCTAGAAGAATAGTATAGAATATCTAGTATGCAAGTATAGATCTCAGAGGAAAATTGGAAGATCTTGATGAAATGAGGCGTAGATATGAAGTAGTAGTTGAAGAACTGATAAGAAATCCAGAAACATGTCATGCCAATGTTGCCTGGAATACATGTAGCTGATGTGAGCTATAATCAAACGTGAAGATTGCATTGTGCACCAAGACTGGAAGTTCAGCAAGGTTTTACTGCTTGTAGATTTTAAAAAAAAATATTCAAATATTGAACTCTTCTCTAATCCGGCATATAGTTTCCATTTTAAACAGTACTCTCAACAAACAGGAATGAAAAACTGAAAATGGAAAACTGTGCTGATATTGGAGTTAGACAATTGTACACTGAAACTCATTTTTTTAAGTGATTGATGAAAATATAGACACTGTGAGACATATATATATCATTGCTGCCTGAATTATGCTAGGTTTGCAGCTTACTTACCTCAGGGTGTGGATGCTTGGAAGCTGTGCTTGGAATTTCCAGGGTGGCATACATTATATATATCCATGTGTGTGAACTATATACAGTGATTGAAGTGTGTTTTTATACTTGTGCATAAAATTGTATAAGCTATTTTCGAATTGCTAAAGGGGTAAATTAAACTCTGTGGCTTACGTATTTAATTTATTGGATTTAAAGCAAGAGGACCAGATGCCAGACCACTGAGGTGGTTTCTTCTCTCAACAGCTAAAATCAGCATTCTCAGCCTGTAGCTAGCACTCAAAGGATAAAAGTAGAGGTTTTTTCCTTGAAAAAATGGGGCATTGTTACCATGAAACCTCTGTTTGTGTATGAAATATATATCAAGTTTTGAGTCAAAGATGAACTTTCCTTGGCCAAAAAATTTGTTTGAAGCCCAAAATTGTCCCCTTTGTTTGTCCCTACCCGGGGCATATAGAAGCCGTTGTAGCCTCAGTCCTAGAAAGGTGTCAGGTGTTGAAATATTGGAAAACAATCATTTTCCTTGAAAAGAACTCACAGATTCTGAATCCTTTATCTGGAGATGTTGACAAAATTTCTAGATAAATGTAATCGAACCAATATACTGAAAGTTGATGTTCTGTTTGACAGGTGTGCCCAGTGCTTCCAGCCTTTTCCAGACGGGATATTTTATGAGGTAAGTACCAGGGGTTTGTTTCAGCAAATAGAACTTAAGTTTAGGGACTTTGCTTAGACAGCTAACAATAGATAGTTGACTATTTGAGTTTAACAGTACAAGCTTGTGTTATCTGTCTTAGAGTACTTTACAAATGATGGACCCACATGAAAATAAAGTTGAAATACCCACTGTCATCACTCGTGGTGGGTATGATAGTGAAGATTTCTAGGGTTACAGAAGATAAAAGCAACATTTTAGACTCTGACCATCTTAAAATTTCTGAATCAAATGCAGATAAAAGGAGAAACAATTATGTATACTTTAAATATGATTAGAATGCTGTGATTTTCAGTTTGAGGGACGCAAATACTGCGAGCATGACTTCCATGTGCTGTTTGCCCCTTGCTGTGGAAAGTGTGGTAAGTTACAGAAACCTGAGGAAAAAACTCAGTTATATATTGAAATAACAATATACAAAAATATCATATATTTTGAAAACTGAATACTAATACTAGTTATTCTTGTTAAAATGCTCATGCTTTTATTGTAGCTTTCATATACAAAACTAATAAAGAAAAATTCAATCATCTATTTAATTATAGCTTTTTTAAGATGACAAAAAGGTGCCTGCTTCTTGACCATTTAAAGGATTTTTATCGTTGCCTTTTGGCAATTGATCTGCTTAACGTATCTGGTGGTCATTTTTCAGGGGAGTTTATCATAGGGCGCGTCATAAAGGCCATGAACAACAGTTGGCATCCAGATTGTTTCCGCTGTCACACCTGTCGCAATGCACTTGCAGATGCTGGCTTTGTCAAAAATGCAGGAAGGTGGGTTCTAAGCACCACAAATTCTACATACAGTAGAGTATATTATTTTTGTGATTATAAAATTATGTGTCTGAAAGTTTGATCATTGTTGCCCATTGAAAAGATTGTCATTATTGTCTTTAATTTACTTTCTTTTTTATTCCTAGGGCACTGTGTAGAGAGTGTAATGCCAGAGAGAAAGCTTCAGGAATGGGAAAATATGTCTGCCATAAGTGCCAGTAAGAACTGTTTTTTAAAGAAATTGTGCTCGACTGTATTTTTGATGCAGACCACTTTGTGTGTGTATTACAAGTTTTGTTGATTATAAATTAATTGACTGATTGTGAAATAAATAATATTTTTTCATGTTTGATAGAAGTGGAACATTGGGAATGAAAAATGTTTTATTTTGTATAAATTTTTATCACAAGAAGTTGGCTATTGTGGTTTCTCTTTCTTCTTTTGCTTTCACAGATATGACAAAAAGATTGCAGTTTAAAATTGGCTTTCAAAATCCTTTCAGACAATTTTCAGAAGTTTTCTTCTCATTTCAGTGCCATAATAGAAGAGGGATTTATCAGGCATAAGGGGGAGGTCTTCCACCCATATCACTTTAATTGTACCTCTTGCGGGTAAGATACCCTTTTACCAATAATAATAATAATTATTATTATTATTATTATTATTATTATTATTATTATTACTACCAAAAGGTTGAAGTTTTACATTCATAGTTTGAATACATTACAGTATTGAGTGAAAAATTAATTCAAATAATATATTAAAAGTATATACAGAATTTAAATCTTAGAAGTATAAGTTTGGTGAGATTTTGGTGCAAAAAATATGAAATACAAAGCACAAGCAAGGAAAACATTTTAAATATTGTCAGAAGATACACCTTGAAAAAGAGCATTTATTTGGTTTTGTTGCAGAGCCCCAATCATAGGTTTTGTTAAAACAATAAAAAAGATCTGCATGTCATTTACATTTTCACCATGTAAGAGAATATTTGTGAGATTTTATCAAATAATGTCATATTTGTGTAAGTTAAACAGGAGCATGCTTTACATACATATTCTCAGTGCTTAGATATTTTTAATACTCCCTAATTTGACCTCCAGTATTGAGCTGAACGCCGATGCCCGTGAAAAATCTGGGGACCTCTTCTGCCTACGTTGCCATGACAAAATGGGAATTCCAATCTGTGGTGCATGCAGACGACCAATTGAAGAGCGCGTGGTGTACGCACTGGGCAAGGCCTGGCACGTCGAGGTAAGGGTTACAGTTATAGTAGTAGTAGTAGTGGCAGTGGCTGCTAGTCGCAGAGCAGTAGTTGTTGATGTTGCTGTAGAAGTTGAAGTTATGGTTGTGTTTAAATGCAGGTTCTAAATGAAGAAGTCTTCACATTATGTCATTAACATTTTCCAGCATTTTGTCTGTGCCAAGTGTGAGAAACCTTTCCTTGGACATCGTCACTACGAGAAGAAAGGGTTGGCTTACTGTGAAGTCCACTACCATCAACTATTTGGCAACATTTGCTTCACATGTAACAATGTCATAGCTGGAGATGGTGAGTTCCTGGTATTGTAAAAATGTCAAAAACTAAAACACACTTCTGCAAGAGTGCAGACCTCTGCCAAGAAAAAAGAAACATCAGTATTTTTTGAAAGATGCTCGAGACCTTGATTCACTGTTATCACTTCTTTTTTATTCCTGAGTAAGTGACTACCTGAAAATTTCATCAAAATTGGTAGATTCATGTGCACTGTTATACAAAATCATGAATAATTGTGTTTTAGTACAGGAATTAAATAACATTTAATTATACCAACGTCTCACCTTGAAATGTGATATTTGTTTCCTTGATTTGCAGTCTTCAGTGCCTTGAACAAGTCCTGGTGTGCCCACCACTTCGCCTGCTCAGTCTGCGACAAGAAAATGAGTCAGAAGTAAGCGTCCTCTTTAATGTGATCAGTGTGCTTGTTATTTATATTTTAAATTTATTATTTGATTTTTATTTACTTTTTTCACCCAGTAGATTATGTCATCTTACTGTTCTGTTCTATTGTAACTATATTTATTTTGTCTGATATGTATTTAAACCTCGTTTAATAATTATCATTCAATTTTTTCCAGGACCAAGTTTTTTGAGTTTGATCTGAAGCCTGTGTGCACCAAGTGCTACGAGAGATTCCCCACTGAATTGAAAAAGAGGCTGAAGAAATTGTACGATGCTCAGAACAAGAAATAAACAGACATTTTATTTCCGAATGACATAATCCATGGAGGAAATGAATGAATGGTGTATGCAAAAAAAGATGCAATACCATAAAAAATTTTAAAAGATTAGCAGCCAACTTTGCATCTGCTTACAACTTAAAGATGTAAAGAAAATAGTAGATGCCAAATGCCAAGAAAACGCCCTTTTTAAAAAAGGGTTTGAAGTATATATGGCTTAATATCAGAGCATAAAGTATATGCTTAGCGGCCTTAAGTGTAAAGAGATGGTAGAAAGATGACTTTAGCTCTTGAAGCACAGAAGAAGAGGATTGAAGAACTGACCAGTTGCAGGTTAAACAAGTTTTGACCAAATACATAAAAGACTGTAAGCCTGAAAATTTGTCTAAACTTTTAGACCAAAAATTTAGTCTTCTTTAGGGCAGGAAAAATTCACAGTAATCGAATTAGATGAAGTGAGTTTCAGTCTAAAACATTAGTCATATCTAATAAAAGAGGGAAGGTCAAGGAGAATGACCACTGTGTGACCACTGCAAGGTGACAGAAATCGCAGATTGTTTAAATATTAACACATTTGTGGCCTGTGTCACAAATTGTCTGTCAATTTTGGGGCTGAACTTGGGCTGCTAAATTTGCATACTGTAGCTGTGTAGCTCAGTCAGCCAATCAGCAATATTGGTCTAGGAGCTTATTTTGAACAGTTGCCTTACAATAGATGTGGTTAATGTAGCTTAATGGCCTGTGTCACTGCTGTGCGTAAAAAAAACAAACATTGCCATGGCAACATTAAAAGTTAGACCAACGACAAAGTTTGAGGCATAAAGAAAGGGAAAACGGGTTTACAACCATGGCGAAACCCTAAAAAATCATAGAGCACGATTCTTGGCAGTTTTTGCTAGTGGTGTTCATAGTCAAGTCCTTTACAGCCTCACTTATTTTTGGAGCCTTGACCTTATTAGTTTTAGGCAAATACTAAACTAGCCAAAAGTAGTGGCAATGTTTAACAACGATACTGCTGATTATGCTAAATGCATATATATGTATATATGAGCCAGTGTAACATGTTGTATATGATACAGATATAGCATTGTGTAGTGAGCTTGTTCACTGTATGGTAACTACTCACAAGTTTTGAATACCTTGTGTAGTCCATTTTATAATTTAAAGGTTTTGAATTGTATGCACGGGTAAAACTGGTGTAGCATAGCTGAACTCTGCTCTCTATTTAAAATGCGTTTTTTTTTTTTTTTTTTTCTGTTTTGATGAAAACATTTATATTTCTTTAAGAAAGTTTAGTTAAAGCCTAGTGAAAAAAATTCAGGGTGCGTGACCCATGCTCAGCGTAAGTAATACACGCATTAAAGGAGACATTATATAATGGATTTGGTCATTTTGAGTTTTAATAGAATCATGAAAGTATGTTACTTTATGTGCTTTGGGATATACATTGTAACTCTAGAAATGATAGTTTTTTTGTAGTAGAAGCAATGGCACTTAAAGTTTTCCAGCTGATGTTAATATGAATGCCAGTCACATTTATGTCATTGTTATTTATATTGTATTGTTAGTTTTATTATTATATATTATACTGTAACATTGTCCCTGAAATAATACAATTATATATATATTTAAGAAGTGCAAGTAGTACTAGCAGTTTCTTAGGTTTTTTTTATATTTATTTATTTATTAATTTATTTATTTGTTCTATTTTTTTTTTTTTTTTTTGTTTAGAAAACCATCTATCTCTTTTCTTTTGGAATGAAGATCCAATTTTTTTCCACATTTTAACAGAAAATGCCAGTGTCAAGTTGGTAGGAGTGAATCTTATGTTAGGTTATATAATTATGTACTAGGCGTAAAGATTAAAACTTGTTGTTTGCATGGTTGAAGGAAATCATTTATGGAAAGTGAACAGGTACTGAACAGGATTAAATCTGATTTATTTTTATTTATTTGTTACCGTGATATTTGGCATTGTCTTATAGTAAATACACAAATGTGTACCACAAATTACTATTAAAATTTCAAGATTTTTTCTTTTTCCGTGAAACAGGCTTTCAGCCAGGACTTGAACCAACTTTCACAAGCAAGCCTTTATTTTAGTTCTAATACGTAGTCAAAGCATTGCTTTGAGGAAATATATGTGCTATTATTATCATTATNCCGAGTATAGATCCCAAGAAGCACATAGACTTCCAAATGCATGCATTTTATGAGTAGAAAATGACTTTCTAATCTGATATACTACAAAGATTGAATAATAACCATATCGAAAAACGTTCAGAAGTATTGGGCACTAAGTTGTAATTTTGAGCGTACAGCTTATTTTAACATGGTCATGCCACTAGGCCGTTGGCGGTACTAGTATATGGATGAACGGGGATGAATAACTGCAGGCAAACGGCAGATCAAAAAGAACACTTAAGCCTAACTTTGGAGCCAAAGCGTTTGAGAATGATCAGAAGCGTTAACAGATAACAGTGCATTAGTGATGTCATTTAGGTTGAGTGATGTAAGCGACTTAGAATGCAGTTGAGTAGGCAGGAAAACTAATTCTCAAACTTCGATGATTGCCAGATGGGAATTGGAAACCTACACTGAAACTGGATTACGGCAAAAAGAACTTCGTTTGGATGTGGACAAAACTACAATTTGAAACATGCAATTAACTTTCTGTTAGAATTACCGAATCAATGTTAACTTGGATTTTGCATCAGACAATTCTAGTTAACCGTTATTGTATAATAACGAGGAGAACTGCCGAACGTTTGTGATTACGTCCCAGCATATTAAAGATCAAAACGACTAGTAAAGCCACAAATGGATTATGGGATAATTCTCAGCAATGAGGTTGGCAATAACAGCAATAACAGTCAGCTAGAATGACGTAAGGAAAGTAAAAGCTTGTCAATTTCAGTCTTCTACAGTTTGCAATTTAAGGCAAGCAGTTCAAATTAGGAATGGATTATAGACCTTACATATACATCTTGCACGGCTATGTCATTAGTGACAATGTCAGTAAAGAGTTGTAGAACAAGAAGAGGACGCAGAGAGTAAAAAAAGAGCACCAAAGGCTGTGCAAGTGAATAACTGTGAGTGAACGTACATATGCGTAGTGCGTCCTCGTCTTCCGCGGCTAGAACAAGTATCGTCGATAAAACAGCATTCTTCTCTCTGCCTGTGGTTTCATTTTGTCTGCGGCGAAGATTCTTGGCGCGGGGTGATACATAGCGGTTTTATCCTAGTAGTAGGCTAAAGCGAGTGATTTTTGGTCTACGTTGTACACGTTTGCCTCTGCTACCATGAAACGGTAGATATATTCAAAAACTCTTTACATACTCTTGTAGTGTTTGTGATTTGATGTTACTTCAACGAATAATTTTACTAAACTAACGTCACTGAGGAGGACGTAATACTGAGTTTTCATCTTGTAGCTATAACTGTGACATTTGTATCTTGGATAAAGAAATGGATTTACCGTATTGACAGCTGGCAGTGACTGGGTAAGAACAAAAGACACCTCCTGATTCTGACCATAGACACAGGTCTGACCAGAGTGACAAGGTTGACGAGCATTCTACGTGTAACACAGCCACTTAACAAATGACATGACATTTTCTGTGCACCTTTTAACATTTGGAACGCTGAAGTTCTATGAATAGTGTTAGCGGTATTTCACGGTCGACTTAACCCCGTGAATCAGGTCGACGTGTTTTAGGAAATTATTCATTGTGCGAGTTTTCACTACATTTCTAAGGTCTGGTTACTATGTTCACTCATGATACAAGTCCAAACGTCTAATTCATGCTTTCATCTAAGGGTGGATGGATCACAATGCGACAAAGCGCTTGATATTTTCGCTTCAAGTGTCTCCTATATTTCTGCACATGTTTCATGTGAGTGCGCACACAAAAACAGTGACGGAGTTAGACTAGAAAGATAAAACTGTTGATGATTGCACATATCTATGACGCCTGAAGAAGGCTATAAGCTGTATATTTTTAAACGTTATAATAGTATTTTCATGTACAAACGTTATTTGGGAATGCGGTGAAGACCCATCGAAGACACATGTAAACAATAGAGAATCTATAATCAAGAATACTTAAGTATCTGACAGGGAAGATGGTTTAAAGATTGAACACTAGGGTTGAAATTTCTGGAAGGCAGTAAGTGCATATATGTGAAATCTATAAACCTGATAGCTGAAGGTACGCTGAGAAAGAAGACAGGAAAATGTATCACTGTAACAGCTCTAGCGGCTTAACAATATAAAAACAAGCAGAAATTCTTAACGAAACAGCAGAAGAGCGACAGATATTTCACTTCACATCGGACGGAATACGTTTGGATTTTATAAACTTTTTTGTTGCGGATATTAAATGAGAATTCCTCGAATCCACTGCTTAGAAATCGCGGTAGGCATTGATTTTGATGTCACGTTTGGAATCTATTCCTACGGGTCTATATGGCGTTTGTCTTTTCTATTCTGACTTGTTGACGGATTCTGAAAACGGAGAAGTGGCCGGCAATCCACAGGTAGGAAATGATGACGAATGTGATTTGTGGGTGGTTAAATGAGGACGACTTATATCATATCCTTGATGTGCGTTGATTTATTTATGTAATTCATGTCTAGATACTTGTGCCTCCGATATAGGCTATATATTTCTTTAAACGCCAAATTGCATATTATTAGACCATGGAAAAAAGCTGTGATTTGCGTTCGCCGATTCCAATATCTTCCCACCTGATTTTTGACTGATATTTAGGCCTATTAAGTGTTTCTTCAAAAAGTTAGGGAAATTGCCAATTACATCGCATGTTTTGCACGCAGTTTATTTTCGGGTAAGAACATAGCCTACATACTTCGTCTTCACTATTTTGAATATCTGGTAAAATTTCGACAAGCAGATGTGTATATAAAGTTTAAACATCTTACATTGCGCGTAGAATATCTGTACCAGTGAAAACGATATTTGATTGGGCATGGTGTACATACACGGTTGCCTGAATGGGCCTGTTCACCTGGTATGGGTAGGGAATATAAGTCGTGATTGCGCAAACCAGGTCTCTTGAGAAGGTAACATTGCTTAAGAATTAGTTTTGACTACTCACTGGTGGTATGGCGCACATGTTCCGCCTGGTTGTGCAGGCAATCAAAGGTTGGGATCTGTTGCTTTAATGTGAAATACACACTGTAGGTAGCCTCAGGCAGAGTCTTATCTCTAGCTGTCAGTTTCAAAGATACTTCCAAAAGCGAATGTTTTTAACAAGTTAATTTGTTCTTGGATTCATGTACAGGTTTGATATACTCAATACAAAATCAATCAATAAGGAGAACATTACTCACTGTGGACCCCCGCCCTGAAGCTTTAATTATAGGTATATTTTCATATATATGTAATTCATCCTCTTCTGGCTCTTTCTGTCAAAGAGGTAAACTTAATGGTTCTTTCTTCCTTCAATCTCTCTCTCTCTCTTTTTCTCCCTCTCTCTTTCTCACACACGCGCGCGCGCACACACACACACACACGCACACACACACGCGCGGCTTTACTTTGAATTTGACCTTTAGCAACTCTGAAATACAACGGTAAAAAACTACCCCTTTTGCCGTTTTCCCCTTTCCATGTATACTGATACGTTTAACGAGTTCCTTGAAGATCAAATAGCTGAAATGATTGGCAGGTAATTTGTAACGGTCAAGATAGACATAGAGGTTAATAGCTCGTGGCCGGAAAGGACCCCTGGTCAGTTTCACCA